CCAATCATGAACTACTCCACAGAGCTTTCCTGGTCCATGAAGGAAAACTTTTTAGAGAGGGTAAGTCACCAAAACTTGTAATAATGAGTCAGTAGCACAGAAAGGACCAAACAATTGGGTCTCTATGGCTCTGGGTGCCGGACCTGGGCCATACAGGCCACTATTCAATTAGCAAAGAATCTGTCAGGATGAATCAGAATACCAGCTAACAGAATGGTGAGGAAGGGGCCGCCCAAGCTGAGGGCAATTCAAAGAGTCTTTCAAAAACCAACTTAACAAGTCTTGTGAGCTTTATTTAAATGTGATGGGAAAGCTACAAAATAGTTCTTTCAAGCTTTCAAATCTCCCTTCTGATCTGCCAATCTTGAGAGAAGAAAAGGGAGGTTCTGAGAACAAGTGGCATCTTCAGGCACTGAGTGCTACAAATACAAAGCAAAGCACACACACAAATTTTCCAATGCACAGTCTTGCCTGTTCCCAAGCAGGCTTTGTCTAAAACCATGATAAAAGCAGCTGGGGGTGCCCTAGCCAGTTTGGCTCAGTGGATAGAGCATCCGCCCCGGTCTGAAGGGTCCCGGGTTCGATGCCAGTCAAGGGCACATGCCTGGGTTGCAGGCTCGATCCCCAGTAGGGGGCATGCAGGAGGCAGCCAATCATTGATTCCCTGTCATCATTGATGTTTCTATCTATCTCTCTCTCCCCCTTCCTCTCTGAAATCAATAAAAATATATTTTTAAAAAAGCAGCTGGGGTGAGTGGAGGGTATTTTCAATTCTCAGAAGGGGAAGCACATAATGAAGCTCACAATTTAAAGCAAAACCAAATCACAAAAAGCTGATATTTCACTGATTATCCAGCTTCGCCATGATGTCTACCACAGAGAACTTGACTTCCCTAGGCAACCTGTGAGGAAGTTACCAAGCAATAAAATACAATAATGGTTGGGAGGCAAAAAAAGTCATAATCAGATAAAAAATTAGATAACTGGCTAACTGAAAGCTGGCTCTATCTGCCACTGTAGGGTGACAGTGGCAGACAGTGGAATAGAGAAAGATGGTAAAAAGAACATACATCCTAGAGTCCCTTCTCTGGACAGCAGCCAGCTAACCCTTTTTTAAAATATATTTTTATTGGTTTCAGAGAGGGAAGGGGAGAGAGATAGAAACATCAATGATGAGAGAGAATCATTGATCGGTTGCCTCCTGCACCCCCTACACTGAAGATCGGGCCCGCAACCTGGGCATGTGCCCTGACTGGGAACCCAATTGTGACCTCCTGGTTCATAGGTTGATGCTCAACCACTGAGCCACGCTGGCCGGGCCCACGAACCTTTTTAAAAGGAAGTCAAGCACAATCCCTCTGTGCTCAAAGCCCTCTGTTGTGACTTGACCTGGGTTCCCTCGGGAAGATGTGCTGCAGCCCTAACTCCCAGTGTTTGCTAACAGTATCTTTGCAGATGTAACCAAGTTAAGATGAGGTCATACTGGATTAGGATGGTCCCTAAACCCAATGACTGGTTTACTTGTAAGTATGCCATGCGAAGACACAGATAAGTAGAGAGAAGAAGGCCATGTAATGAAGGAGGCAGAGACTGTAATAAGCCAAGGAACACTAAGAATTGCCGGCAACCACCAGAAGCTAGAAGAGACAAGGAAGAATTCTTCCCTAGGACTTTTGGAGGGAGCATGGCACTGCTGACACCTTGATTTCAGACTTCTAGCCTTCAGAACTGCGAGGGAACACTAGTACATTCCTGTTGTTTTAAGCCACCCAGTTTGTGGCACTTTCTCAAGGCAGCCCTAGGCAGCTAACACATCCTCCAATGGCTTCCTATCTCACTCAGAAAGAAAACCGCAGCATCATTACAATACGATCCAGACCGCCCCTTACCTGGTTGACTTCAGCAACTACTGCTCTCTGCCTGTCACTCCACTCCAGCCACACTGTCCCCTTCACTGGTCCTCAAACACGCGGCCACGCTGCCACCCTCCCCCCACGGGCCCCACTCTGTCAAGGCTGGCCCTGTCTCACACCTTTGCAGATGCCATTCCCTCTGCTGGAAGGGTTCTCTCCCCAGGCATCTGCAAGGCTGTTTTCTCAATCTTTCTTCAAGGCTCTGCTAAGTCTCCTTATTATTAAACCTCCATCTAATTACCCTTCAGCATCTCCTACCCTCACCCCATATACCCTATTCCTCCTTCCCCCGCTTCACTTTTTTCTCCATAAAACTGAAGACAAGCGGGCATGTATCTTTCACTTAGCCTTTTAAAGGTCCATGGCCCTCTGTAGGGTTAGACGGGTGAGAGCAGAACTTTTTCACTGCTGAATCACAGTGCACTCTACTGAAGAGATAAATGAATTCTGTCAAGACAGGTGAAATTTTACCCCAAACTGGCTGCGTGACAAAAAAGATTTCTACTAATTAAGTGGAACAGCAGAAGCTTTTGTAGATGAAGGGCAGGCTCAAGGTTGGGCTCTGAGGGGTTTGGGGAGAATCTCTGTACCAGGTTTTCTTAGGTAGACTGAGCAGCTCACCACCATTCCTGTGTGAGGAAGAGCAGTTTTGAAACAGCCTCTTCAGATTCCTCCTTATCTACAAAACGTCAACTCTCACCTGTAATTTCTGTCTCCAGCCACACCCTGTAGAAAGCTACTTAGCCTGGGAAATTCTAAACTTGCGTCCATCACTGCATTCCTACACACATTTTTGTTTTCTAGGGGCCGAGGGGAAGGGCCCAGCAGGAAAGTTTGATGAAGACAATCTCTTACTACAAATGTACAAACTACTTGGGGAAGAACACCTCTCAGACTACCCGGATCCTAAAAAACAAACATTTCAAATAAACCGGGAGCTTTAAAACAGCTCTTACGCAATGAGGAGACCATCCAAACCTTTTTTTAATGGCCCTAAATCAACACTTTTCCTTCCCTCGTTTACATTTTCAAAACTTTAAAACAAAAGGGGCAGACACTGGAAGTCTCTCCTTACCTTGGGTGTTGGCCACAGGTCCTGCTAATCCGAGTGATGAATCACAGCAGGCCTTGAGAGGTGACTTGATGGGTGTTTCAACTTCAGGGGTCTCAAAATTACCCTCAGAATCCGAGCTGCCAAGGGGGAAAAATGAGGAATTACCACTTTCAACGGTATTTCCGACAGCCTGTATCACCTATCAAACGGCTCACGTCCAGGGCCCTAACCCTACAACCCACTGGTCCTCAGCCCCGATTGGCCATGGGCGATGCTGCGGGCTTTTCTCGCGCATCCTGTCTCCCTGGATTCGCCACCATCCTTCGGAGCTTTTCTCCAGCACCATCTGTTTTGATGGCATCCTTCCCTCGGACACCCAGGAATAAAAGCTCGTTTCAACAGGCTCCTTTTCTCCCAAGAGCCCTTTCCCAGAGCCTTAAAAATTAAGATGGCCCCCCTCCCCCTAAAAAAAAAAAATTAAGCCAGTTCTCGCCACGATGCCTTTTTTTCCCTGGCAGGCCTCTCGCTACCTGTTCTAACTCCCTCGGCCCGGCCCGAGGCGGAGGATGCGGTCACCTGCCTTCTGCAATCACACGAGTGACAGCACAGCGGAGACCACCATTTCTCACCAGCTGCCAGAGGCCTGTCATCACGCGACCTTCCCTACCAAGACCGCATTTTGGGGGTCACAGTGGGAGCGACCTCTTCCCCACCGGGTGTGATCAATGGCACTGTGAGTGCGTGTGTGTGATGGGGTGCGGAGAGACTGCAGATTCTGGGTTAGGTTCAGAAAGCTCACACTGAAAAGGGAGAAAGAAAACGCACGGGAGGACGGAACGTCTTGAACTTCCGAATGCACAGCGGGGACCTGGTTCCGGGCGGGGTCCAGCATTGCCACGAATATGGTTACGCGGGTGGGCGACCACACACACGCACACAGGGTGAGCCACAGACGGATGGGCGGGCGGATGAATGAATGGATGGGTGGGTGGGTGGATGGCAGCACGTTTGCATCTCGGCAGGGATGCGTGTACTTGCCTGAAACTCAAGGATTTGGTCTCGGCTTGCGAGTCCTCCTCCTCCTCGGGGTCGCCCTCGGGCCCTCCGGCCTCGTCGTCTCCGGCGCCCCCGCCGCGCACCGCGGACCACGTCCATTTCGCCCACTGCACGGGGGACAGGATCTGCCACGGGCTGAACGCCATGAGTGCGGATCCTCCGGCGCCAGCTCCTAAGGGTAGGGGAACGGGAGAGCCTTTTTTCCCCTTTCAAAATGGAGGGAACCGGTGACAGGCGCCGTTAAGCGTTTCCAGCGGAGGCGCGGATGTGGTTAAACGAGCGCCGTCGGGGCCGGGGTGGAAGCGCTTCCTCTTGGCCGGCCGGCAGCGCCGCTTCCTCCTAGTCCTCCTTCCCAAATGGGG